TCGCATCGTAGAATATCGCATCGTCGAGAAGCGAGAGACGCAGGGTGTAGTAGAAACACAATAAAAACAGCACTCACCGGCGGCGCCCCGCCCGTATTATTGCTCCCCGTCCCGTCGTCCGTGCGCGAGCGCTTCGCAGGGCGGTGCGACGAATTTTGGTTCTGGGAGAAGGGTTAGGTTAGCGTGTCCAAATTCGATGAAGGGTTCCAAAATCAAATTCGAGGACAAGCCAAAAAAAGCGCCGCGAGCTTCGAAGCTCCGCCATCCAAAAAAGACGGGAGACGGATACGCAAAAACCCAAAAAAAACCCACCTTATCCTCCCCAACAATCGGATCCGGATCCACAGTCGGCATCGGTATCCCCGTCGCCATCCCCATCCCACCCCCATTTCCGTTTGGGTCCAAAGACGAAGAAGAGGGGGAGGGCCGGCGATGAGCCCGCCGCCGCGGGTGTCTCCTGGAGAAAAGGAGGGGGTTAGTAGGGTGAAGAGAGAGGGGGAGGGGGAGGAAGAAAAGAAAAAGGGACCGGTACACCATCTACCATCTACCAGCCACCGCTCCCGCTCCAGAGGCGAGCCAAAAAATATCGTCTCCCCGCGCGCGCGACAGAGCATCCACAAAGTCTCCGCCCGCAGGACGACCTCCCGCCTCCCGCAAAACGGGAACGACGTCCGCGTATAGCGTATGGCACATGGCGCACGCTGCCAGGACAAGCTCGCTCGCTCCCCTCCGCCCAACGCCCGTCGCCCGCCGCCCAAAGAGGCAATATCCGCAGCACCGAACGCCCCCCGCTCGAACGAACGAACGAACGAACGCGCCAGGAAAGGTGCTCAGCCGTGTCCGTGTCCAGACATGACGACGCCGCCCCTCCGCCCTCAGAGTCAACGCCCAACGCCTCTCGAGGGAACGAACGCGCCTTCCCTCCCCCTCCCCCCCCCATTTTCATTTCCCCCAATTCGTTTTCTTTCCCATCCCCCCCTCTCTTCCCCCCCCAAAAAAAAAACTTGAGAAAACGCACCCATCCCCCCAACCCCGGCACCCGCGCCTTCCTCATGCGAATATCCTTGCGGATGCGGATCTTGATGCCCTGGTCGGCGAGGGAGCAGGTGAGGGGGAGGATTCTGTGTGGAGCGTTAGTGACGGCATGGAGGAGGAGCAAGACGAGGGAGAGGAAGGAGGAGGGAAGGGGGGCGGGGACGGAAGAGTGTGGTGAGTTGGATGGGAAGTGGGAGAGGGGGAGAAAAACGTGAAATAAAGACGAAGATATGGGAAGGATGGGAGAAGCGAGCGAGCGAGCGCAGGGGAGGAATGACGGGGAAAGGACGGGGAAGGAGGGAAGGAGTGGGATGGGAGAGCGAGCGAGCGAGACGAAGAGAAACGTAAAACGTAGAATGCAAAATAAAAAAAAGGCACTGAAAGAGTGGTGGGAGGGATGAATGGGACGAGGGTAGGAAGCACGAGGAACGCAGGCACGCAGGTATTCCCTCCCCAGCACGACGAGGCCAAAATGAGCGCCATCCTCCCTCCGTGGCATGACTTAGGGTAGAGCATTGACGTAGGGACGCATGTCCTCTCGCCCGTCTTTCACCGCTCGTACCCCGAACAAGGTGAAACGGCGTTCCAAACGCATATAATCCCCCCAAAAAAGATAGAGAACAACAGAGCAACAGAACGACAGAACAAGGAAGACCAAAAAGAGACGCACCCTCCACCCCCGGAAACTTCTTGGCGGTGTACACGTAAAAGGGCGCGCTGTAGATGGACTTGCAGTGGCGGACGTCGTTCCTGGGGGTGAGTGTTAGCGAGCCGTCGAGTGTTAGCGAGAAAAGCGAGGGAGGGGTGAGAAGGGGAGAAAGCGAGCCGCGGTGAGGGTGAAGAAGAGGGAAGAAAATTGGGGGAGGGAGGGGGGAGGAGAGGGAGGGCAAGGGAGGAGGGGCAAGGGCAAGGGAGGAGGGGCAAGGGCAAGGGAGGAGGGGCGAGGGAGAGGGAGGCAGGTGGCAGGACGAGCATCGGGGGTGAATTAGGAAGGAGTGTGAAGACGAGGGAGCGCACGGGGGCGGGGATGGCGGTGTGAGTGAGTGAGTGAATGGGAGTAAGGGATGGAGAGCGTCGGGAGGAAGGAAGGGTAGGGGAGAGACACAATGGCAAGCCCAGCGGGCACCCATACGTCCACCAAAAAATCGAGAACCCAAAAATCGAGAAACAGAAACATCGACTCACCCAACAACCTCGAACAAGCTCAACTTGAGCCTATAACTCCCCTCCGTCCTCACCGACAAATCCGGAAACACGAAAAAGCCCGCATCCCCCGCCGGGCTCGCCGTCGTCGGACCGCTATCCTTCCCCCCATTCTGTTGCCCACCCTGCCCCCACTGGCATTCCCACCCGGAGGAGCAGGCGCGGCCGTAGGGTCCTTAAGCGCATACAAAGACGAGACGACGCTCCCGGTGGTGCACCTCGTGCGCCCGTCCTTGAGCCAGTGCAGCTCGGTGTCGTCGTCGGGCTTGGCGAGGGATGCGAACATGAAGTAGTAGGGGTTCTGCAGGAAGGACTGGGCGTAGCCGGCGAGGTTGGTGTAGGGCGGCTCGTCGTCCGCGAGGGGCTTGTCGTCGTCCGCGCCGGGGGTGGTGTTGGTGTTGCCCGGGCCCGGACCGGCGGTAGAGGATGAGGCGGAGGAGGAGGAGGGGTTGGAGGAGTTGTTTGAAGAGGAGGGGGCGGGGCGGAGGCGGGGTCGATGACGCGCAGCTGGACGATCACGGGCGGGTCGATGGGGCGGCGGTCCGCTACATACCTACTAGTGAGTATACCGCGGTATTGTTGGCAGAAAGGAGGACGGACCCTTGCCGCCAATACCGCACATGCGCGCCTGCTTCGGCTCTTGGCGCACCGTCAGCTCGTATTGTCTGCGCATCCGAGCAAAGTCAGTCAGCACAACCGAATAACACCGCAGAGAGACGAAGAGGTATCAAATGGAATGGCCCTGTATGCAGTCTGTAGTCTGTCTTTACAGACAAAGCATGGAGCGGGACCTGCTCTCCCAACCCAAGCCCACGGACTCGGGTCATCACTACGGCCCCTCTGTCTTTCTCCCAAAGGCCAAAAATTAACGAATAAAAGAAAGACTAACAAACGGGTCCGGTCATGCGGGTAGCTCGCGGGCATCGTATGCGGGGCCATCTGCGCCTCGCCGCCGCCGTCCATCAGGTCCATATTTGCTTGGGGAGGAGGGTGAGATAACAAGTCACAAGTGTGGTATATAGGGTTAGGGTTTGGATTAGTGATCGATAAGCGAGGTGACGTGCCGCCCGGCACCTGGGATATGGACATTGGACACGGAAAACCACGACCGCGGCTCTGGTTCGCACCCACACAAGCCCACAGGTGCGTCTGTGTGCACCCGTGCACAACGGAATATGGTGTCGTGTATCATACAACGCCTTCAACATGCTGTCCTGACCGTGATGTGCCAATGTTCCTAACCAAGCCCTGACCTGACTTCCGATTCAAGTTTACGGCTGCTGCCAAATTCTAATGCTGTATATGTGTATCCTGCTCTCTCAGGCTAAGTACTCTCTCTCAGGCTAAATAAGTTGCTTTATGCAATCTCCCTTAATGCTTCCCCGCGGCCAACTCTCTTTCTTTTCTCGTCTCGTCTCTGCTTCTCTTGCTTTTCTCGTCTGCCTCATTCGCCTTCTCAGACCTGCTCATTCATCTTCTCAGCTTGGCAATCTAATAAGTAAGTTGTCCTCCCGCTCCTCCCCACTCACCCTCATCATTCTCATCATCATCACGAGGATCCTCCTTCCATTCCATTCCATTGCATTCTGCATCCACGCCCAATAAGAAGCACCCGTTTCTCGCGCTCGTCTCGGCACCGTGCTCGATCTCCGTCTGCCTGCTACTAGGTCTTCTACGTTATGTTCCGATGGACCTATGTAATACCTACCACTCGAAGCCGGTGCCCTTCCCATCCTCGATCACCGTAATGCAATCTCCCCATTCCCATTTATTCCCATCCTCTGCAGTTAATTCCCATTCCCATCCTCTCCCATCCTCTCCCACATAAAGTACACATCAATCAATCTCCTAGGCTTAAGTCCGCCGCGGCCACTCTCACCTTCATTCATCCCGGCCTTAGGCCTTATCCTGCCGAAGCCCTCACACCCCTCTTGTCTTTGTCTTGAGATCCGCCAGATTCAGACAAACCTCGCACGCTCGTTCTCATACTAAGGACTCAATGATCCTGACGTGTGCGGGTCGGGTGCAAATGCACACCACGTCTGCTGCTGATTCTATACTGTGTATCTATAGTATAGTACCAAGCCTTCCGCCATGAGACTCGCACCGTGGTCTTCCCATCCCATCCCATGCACCGCCCCGGACTTGTGCAATCTTCCCATCCCCATTAATATTCCCATCCTCCGCTGTGCCAAGTATCATTACTATCAATATATATATATATCAATCAATCCCTTAAGCTTGCCACGGCCACCCTGCCAGACAAACTCATAAAATCTGATCTCGACCTGGCCATAGACCCTGGATTCTGGACCTGCTTTTGGGCGCACTCTTTCTGTTTTGGTGCAGGCTGTCCGTGTTGATATGTAATATGTAACGGAAAAGACAATGATAACGAAAAACGGAGCGATAACGGGAAGGATAACGACAACGGCGTCTAACGACATTTAATTATGCCGTGAGCAGTGTCTGGGCCGTTTCGTAATCGTAATCGTAATACAAAGGGCCAGACCTACATACGACGCTTAATGGATGCCGTCAAGCCTGGAAGTTGGAAGTTGGAACGCAGCCAAATTAATAACTAGTATAATCGTAGTAATTTGTTGAGAGCGCGACATATAAATCTCTACCTCGAAGTCTCCATCTCTACCCCTTCTTTCCGCGGATCAGAATCCAACTCGGTATTCCTCCTCGACGCGTACTCCGGAGTCGTCTGAAACTTATGGGAGAGAAAAAATCAAAAACGAACCGTTCTATACTTATGCGGACGCGGGGAGTCGAACCCCGATAGCCTTCAATACTTCTCTGCGATCCTTATATGAAATGAAGGAGTGCACCGTGCACCACGTCCGCTTCCTAGCCTCTGTTACTCACTTGAGTAACTACAGTATGATTTTATCGGTGTTGTGTGTTAGCTAGTGTAGTTTCATAATTTTATTGCAGTAGATGGTGAACTAAAAAATAGAGCCCACAACTCCTATGGGGATAATTGAGTCGTGCTTGGAAGAAAAAGTGGAAACATTGCTTCAATATGCAGACGTGGGGAGTCGAACCCCGATAGCCTTCAACACTTTTTCAGGAGAGTGACATGAAATGAAATGAAGGAGTGCACCGTGCACCACATCCGCTTCTTACCCTCTGTTACTTGGGCTCCTAAGTACAGTAGCATGGTTTTATACTTTATTTTATTGCAGTAGACTGTGAGCAAAAAAAGAGCCCACAATTCCTACGGGGGATAATTGAGTCGTACTTCAAAAGACTTGCCAAAAAAATGAGAATGAAAAATGAAAATGAAAAAGGATACAATTCATTCACTATCATGCGGACGAGGGGAGTCGAACCCCGACAGCCTTCAACACTTCCTTTGGATAACTACATGAAATGAAGGAGTGCACCGTGCACCACGTCCGCTTCCTAGCCTCTGTTACTGAGTACCTAAGCTGCTAACTAGTATGTATGGTTTAATTTTATTAGGTTGTGAACTAAAAAAAAAACTACACCCAATGTGTATGCGGACGCGGGGAGTCGAACCCCGACAGCCTTCAACAATTGTGTCTGATCGCTCTATGAAATGAAGGAGTGCACCGTGCACCACGTCCGCTTCCTACCTTTGTTACTTGGGCTCCTAAGTACAGTAGTATGATTTTATTTTATTAGATCTTGAGCTAAAAAAACGAGCCCACAGCGGAGTCCAATCCCTACTGGTTTGGAAAGAGTCGAAAGAAAAATCAAATGAAAATAAAAACATGGCAACATCGACATACATGCGGACGAGGGGAGTCGAACCCCGACAGCCTTCAACACTTGTCTCAAATGCTCTTAATGAAATGAAGGAGTGCACCGTGCACCACGTCCGCTTCCTAGCCTCTGTTACTGAAGCTGCCAACTACAGTAGGATTTTATTTTATTAGGTTGTGGGCTAAAAAAAAAAGTAAAAAAAAAATCCCAACACGTATGCGGACACGGGGAGTCGAACCCCGACAGCCTTTAACATTTCTTTGTAAATGTACTCGCCTCATGAAATAAAGCAGTACACCGTGCACCATGTCCGCTTCCTACCCTCTATTACTGAAGTGGCTAACTAGTATGATTTTATGATTTTATTGCAGTAGATTGTGAGCAAAAAAAAGAGCCCACGGCGGATAATTCGAAAGAGTTGAAAGAAAAATGGAATTGTCACCTGCATGCGGACAAGGGGAGTCGAACCCCGAAGCCTTCAACACTTTGGGGATACCCTTATGAGATAAAGCAGTGCACCGTGCACCACGTCCGCTTCATACCCCCTGTCACTCAAGCTGCTAACTACAGTAGGATTTTATTTTATTAGGTTGTGAGGCTAAAAAAAAAAAGAAAAAAAAATCCCAATGCGTATGCGGACGTGGGGAGTCGAACCCCGACAACCTTCAACACATTTGCAGATAGCCCTATGAAATGAAGGAGTGCACCATGCACCACGTCTGCTTCCTACCTTCCGTTCCAGTAGCTGCTAACTAGTATGGTTTTATAATTTTACTAGATTGTGAGCAAAAAAAAGAACTACACCCAATGTGTATGCGGACGCGGGGAGTCGAACCCCGACAGCCTTTCAAATCTTGTTCCTGGCAGCATGAAAGAAAGGAGTGCACCGTGCACCACGTCCGCTTCCTATCCTCTATCTGCTAACTAACTAGTATGGTTTATAATTCTATTAGATTGTGAGCAAAAACAGAGCCCACAGCCAGGATCGGAGTCCAATTCCTACTGGGGGACATTCAGAGTCGTACTTCAAAAGACTTGCCAAAAAAATGAGAATGAAAAATGAAAATAAAAAAGGATACAATTCATTTACAGTCATTCACCGTCATGCGGACGCAGGGAGTCGAACCCCGACAGCCTTCAAGACTTCTTTTGGACATGCTCATAAAATAAGGCAGTGCACCATGCACCACGTCCGCTTCCGACCTTCTGTTACTGAAGTGGCTAACTACAGTAGTATGATTTTATTGGATTGGTTTGGGAGCCAAAAAAAAAGAGCCCACAATTCCTACAGGGGATAATTGAGTTGTGCTTTAAAACTTATGAAGGAAGATGAAAAATGAAAAATGAAAACATATCTGCAAAATGCGGACGAGGGGAGTCAAACCCCGACAGCCTTCAACAGCACTTTACAGTCCAGATATGAAATGAAGGAGTGCACCGTGCACCACATCCGCTTCCTACCCTCTGTTACTGAGGTGGCTAACTACAGTAGTATTATTTTATTTTATTGGATTGTGAGCAGAAAAAACAAGAGCCGAGTCCAATTCCTACGGGGATAATTGAGTCGTGCTTTAAAAGAAAAATGGAACTATCACCTGCATGCGGACGCGGGGAATCGAACCCCGAAGCCTTCAACACTTCTTTGGTATTACTGCATGAAATAAGGCAGTGCACCGTGCACCACACCCGCTTCCTACCCTCTGTGACTGAGTACTCAAGCTGCTAACTACAGTTTTATTATGATAGATTGTGAGCAAAAAAAAAGAGTTGAGTTCAATTCCTACTGGAGGATAATCAATGAAAATAAAAACACTGTCAGGCGTTCGGCATGCGGACGAGGGGAGTCGAATCCCGAAGCCTTCAGCACTTTTTCATTCGGAATGCCCTCTTAATGAAATAAAGCAGTGCACCGTGCACCACATCCACTTCTTATCCTCTGTTACTGAGGTGGCTAACTACAGTAGGATTTTATTGGTGTTGTGAGCTAACTAGTATGCTTTCATAACTTTATTACGATAGATTGTGAGCGAAAAAAGAGCGGAGTCCAATTCCTACTGGATTTAATTGGGGAATAGTTGTGCTTCGAAATAAAAATAAAAATGAACGTATTCACGACCATGCGGACGCAGGGAGTCGAACCCCGACAGCCTTCAACACTTTGGCAATATCCTCATGAGATAAAGCAGTGCACCATGCACGACGTCCGCTTCATACCCCCTGTCACTCAAGCTGTTAACTACAGTAGGATTTTATCGGTGTTATGTGCTAACTAGTATGGTTTCGTAATTTTATTACGATAGATTGGGAGCAAAAAAAAAAAGAGTCAAGTCCAACTCCTCCTCGATGCAACCTCGATGCGTGCTTCGAAAATAGTTGAAAAAAAATTTGACGCCTCGCTATCATATGCGGACGCGGGGAGTCGAACCCCGACAGCCTTTTCAAGTTCGGGATGGTTACATGAAATAAAGCAGTGCACCGTGCACCACGTCCGCTTCCTACCCTCTGTTCCAGTAGCTGCTAAATAGTATGGTTTTATAATTTTATTCTACTAGGATGTGAGCAAAAAAAAGAGCCGAGTCCTATTCCTACGGGGGATAATTGAGTCGGGCTTCGAAAGTGTTGAAAGAAATATGAAAAAAAAAAATGATAACATGTCTGCAAAATGTGGACGCGGGGAGTCGAACCCCGACAGCCTTCAACATTGTGTTGTGATTAGAGCATGAAATAAAGCAGTGCACCGTGCACCGTGCACCACATCCGCTTCCTATCCTCTGTTACTGAGCTGCTAACTAAGGTAGTATGGATGATAAATTTATTAGATCAGATTGTGAGCAAAAAAAAAGAGCCCAGTCCAATTCCTACGGGGATAATCGAGTTGTGCTTTGAAAAGAGTTCAAAAATAAAAATAAAACACAAACATTGATCAACGTGCAGACGAGGGGAGTCGAACCCCGACAACCTTCAGGACTTCTTTGGATATGCTCATAAAATAAGGCAGTGCACCGTGCACCACGTCCGCTTCCTGCCCTCTGTTATTGAGTACACAAGCTGCTAACTACAGTTTTATTATGATAGATTGTGAGCAAAAAAAAGAGCGGAGTCCAATTCCTACCGGCATAATCGAGGCGTGCTTTGAAAAGAGTTGAAATGAAAATTAAAAAGTAATGCATCTCTCAAGAAATATGCGGACGCGGGGAGTCGAACCCCGACAGCCTCTTGAACTTCGAGACGATCATATGAAATGAAGGAGCGCACCGTGCACCACGTCCGCTTCTTACCCTAGTTGCTAACTACAGTAGTATGGTTTTATAATTTTATTAGACTGTGAGGCTAAAAAAAAAAGAAAAAAAAAATCCCAACATGGATGCGGACGTGGGGAGTCGAACCCCGATAGCCTTCAACGCTCTTCTTGGGCAACATGAAAGAAAGAAGTGCACTATGCACCACGTCCGCTTCCTCCTCCCGTTGCAATAGCTAGTAGGATTTTATTGCGGTAGATTGTGAGTAGAAGAAAAAAAGAGTCCTACGGGGGTAATTGAGTCGTGCTTGGAAGAAAAATGGACACCTCACTATCATATGCGGACGCGGGGAGTCGAACCCCGACAGCCTTTCAACTCTTGTTCCTGGCAGCATGAAAGAAAGGAGTGCACCGTGCACCACATCCGCTTCCTACCCTCTGTGACTGAGTACTCAGGCTGCCAAGTACAGTAGTATGGTTTTGTAGCTTTGTAGAGTGTGACCAAAAAAAAAAAAAAAAGAGCCCACGGATCGGAGTCCGATTCCTACTGTGAGTCTTGCTTGGAAAAGAGTTGAAAAAAAATTGACGCCTCACCATCATATGCAGACGCGGGGAGTCGAACCCCAAAGCCTTCAACATTTCCTTCGGCAACATGACATGAAATGAAGGAGTGCACCGTGCACACGTCCACTTCCTACCCTCCGTTCCAGTAGCTGCTAACTAGTATGGTTTTATGATTTTATTTTATTAGGTTGTGAGCTAAAAAAAACAGAACCGAGTCCAATTCCTACGGGGGATAATTAGTTCGTGCTTTGAAAGAAAAATGAAAATGAACACCAGTGCTTTCACCGACATGCGGATGTGGGGAGTCGAACCCCGACAGCCTTCAACATTCTCTGTGGGATCTCGCATATGAAAGAAAGCAGTGCACCGTGCACCACGTCCACCTCCTACCCTCTGTTACTTGGGCTCCTAAGTACTGTAGTATGGTTTTATCGGTGTTGTGTGTTAACTAGTATGGTTGTAAAACTAAAGTAGCCCGCTGTGCGGCAGAGCCCGCTATCTGTCTTCTATCAGTGACACTAAACTTCAACCTATTTAACATCTAGAGCCTGGGTATATGCATACAATTATTTTAGTCTATGTTCTTATACATCACGTCCACTTTTAGTACAGTCATTCCATGGTCCTTGCAACAGGTTTTGGAAATCCCGCTTTTTTGGCACAAAACTAAGGTTTAGGATCGAAACCAAATATGTAGGTAGTATGTATGCACTCGTAGACCTAGGCCATGCAAAAAAATCCAGGGTTTCTCATCAATTTTAAAGCATTCTTGGCCAACCGGTGGGGGGCCAATTTTCTCAGCATCACTGGTCCTTGCAAATCTGCAGAAACTGGACTGGGATAGTGGTCTCAACCAAAAACTTGAGTTGCAATGTGAAAATATAGTGCTAGTGGTTCCCTATATGTCTGTACACAAGCTTTTTGAGTGTCTAGATACCCTGTCCCATGCTAGAACTGACCGTGCTCTAAGCCTACCATGTATGGAAAAATAGGGCTTTTTTTGTGGCTTGCTGTATCTTTTTTTGTACCACAATTCATCTGGACCCATGATATTGCTTGTATTCATGTTTGACTATGTTCAACACATTGTTTGTGCATGTTTTCACCTCACGTGAGCACAGTGTATGGATGATTGGTTCATTCCACACACCTGGGCTATCCAATGACCCCAGATTTTTGATAGCATGGACATATGACTCAGTATACCCCTCCCTTCATTTTATGTCCTGTGAAACAAACAATGTAGAAGGGATAGTTGGATTTCCTGCAGATCTGCCCTATTCGGTACTGATTACATAATTATGGTGCACTCTATGCACCCAAAAATAATGTGGGAAGTGTATCGGACATGAATGAAGAGATCTGTAAAAAAATGGCAAAGAAATATGATTTTAGGGCCTAGGAAAAAAAACATTTGCAAGGACCAATGATTTTGCAAGGACCATGGAATGACTGTACGTCCAATATATATGAACGGCCCGTATAATCATCGGGGATCTCGAGTACGGCCAATGTACAGGTTAAGAACACCGCAGTCCAGGTGGTAACATCACCAGCAGCTACGTTGTCGGGTAGCCTTACCATTTTATTATTATCAGCTAACATCAAGTCAGCGATGATCGCGTCAAGGTATGTTTTGCTTACCTAGGTCGCATTCTAGACCATGAGCCTGGACAAGCTCGCGTAGCACCGCCAGTTGCATGTCAAATCGGACACCAAGTTCTTGTCCGATTGAGCCGTTTTCGTCCCACTAGGCATTCCCTGCATCAATGTGCGGATCTCATTATGCATCACGAGCCTGGATTGCGCGGAGGCCCGGGAGGTGACTGCTGATAATGTTGGCATTTTTCATCAACCGCAAAACCCTGCGTTCTTTAGGCATGTCAGCTGTTATACGATCCCCTGACGCAACACGTTCTGCAACCTTATGTACGGTAAGCAGAGACACCGTCCCAAATTGAGCTGCAATGTAATCAAAATTGGTGCCATCGGCCTTGAGACTAGTACGCAACAGCAGTGCCCTTCGTTGAATCATGTTGAATGCAGTGAACAAGAAAGAATAATGCTCTTGGAACCGACGGTCCGCAAGATTACACAAATGTTTAGATGGCGCTTGAAACCAAGTGTGGTAAACCGAGTGTGGTCCTCCAATCCACCGAGTCCGTAAGGAAACAAAGTAGGGTATATCATAGGGAACAGGCCCAAGCTGTTTGAGAATGTCGACTTGCATACGCACTGAGGGATCATCTCGATCTTCAAACGGAGTAGAACCAGAGGAGAGCTGAGATGAAACAGAGGAACATCCAAGATACGACGCGTGAGACTCCTTGTGAGTACACTGGCCTGTACGAAGATGCTGCCAGATGATAGTACGCAGATCAGCCAAATTCAGGAGAGTTTTCGAATCCGGCTTGCAAATATTCAAACCGTGTGACTGAGCTAGAGAGACGAGACTGCCTTTCGGAAGTTTGAACACATTTTCGAACAGGACACGAGTGGGGTTCGCTGATGCATGAATTTCGATTATGGTAGACCTGCGCGATCCAATTTCTGTCAAAAATGCCTCACGCGAGTCAGATGAAGTGGAAGGCAGTCCCAAGCATTGGATCACCGAGAACATATGTGTGGATGGTAACCTCTCGGGTGATGCAGATAGAAGAATGCTCAAAGCATGATGCATCGAATGCCATAGCATGCTCTGAGCCATATGCAGAATGGAATTGGGTGCAGCGGCAAGCATGCATGGAATGATCAATCGCGTCGCACACTCCGATACAAGATCCAGATATCAAATGAGACAAAAGCGCATAACGTGCCTGCGTGACAACTCATCTACGCCTGATATGTGGTGTCGATCAGCAAATCATTGATCAGATCAGGAGAGGACACCAGGGAGTTGACTACAGGAGATGGGTGAGTTACAGAAGGTGCTACCGACGCAAGAGAATCGGGAGAATGGTTAAACGGTTATCAACATCATGTGCAACAGGTATCAAAGAGCGACTCCGAGAGTCGAGGTCTGCGTTGGGTATCAGGAACGCTCTATATCGAAATGTGTCGAAACTAACCAAGGGAAGCACCACAACGAGTAGCCGACTGAGGAAAGGCAGAAGTCTGAGAGTGGGAGTCTGTAGTGAGGTTCAGAAATGTTATACATCCAGTGAATCGAAGCTAACCAATAGGAGCACCACCACCGGCAGACTGATGGAGGGGAGAACGAGCGGCTGCTCGGAAGGAGGCGTCAATCGCAGGACCTAAAAATGGATAATTCGGTACAGACCAGACAGCGAAGCCCCAGAAACGAGCAGAGTACAGGCATCAAACGTGTTACCAGGCCGATAACCGGACAAAATCAGCGACTCGCGGAGAAAGGAACCCCACTCGAGCCCAAGGGATATGTCGTGCAAGAGCCCAGCCCTAGACTCAACATGCACAAGCGAGGAGAAAGAGCCATATCCAGGGAGAACGGTCGTCAAAAGGAGGCAACTATTGTGAGCCAACCGAAGGCTTTGAGCGTAGGATTTAGACACCAGAGTTCGAGGTTCGTCAATAAAGCCAACGGAAACAACAGTGTTTCTGTCCAGATAGAGCCTTAGACAGACATGGTCGAGTATTTTTCGGGGAGAAAAACAAATGATGGGGTGTTTTAAGCAAGTTTTAAGTACGAGATCAAACAAAGAGGGGCGACGTGCGTACCAACAAAAAGGAGTGGAAATGGATTGACAGGGGTCAATTAGTCGTGAAGTCGCACAACCGAGACTTCGGTAAGTTATTTAAATCAATGGTAAGGCATTTAAAATAAACAGAGGCAAACTTGAAATGACGTAGTAGGGCAAAACTGACTTTCAATCACTTTTTTGAAACCACTGCAACACCCTCTATACATAGATAGCAGGCATAATTCTATTAGATTGCGAGCAAAAAAAAGGGCCCACAATTCCAATGGGGGATAATCGAAGTGAGTGGTGCTTTTGAAAAGAGCTGGAAGAAAAAATGAATGCCGCACCGTACATGCGGACATGGGGAATCGAACCCCGAAGCCATCAACACTTCTTTTCCGGCATGAGATAAAGCAGTGCACCGTGCCCTCTGTTACTGAAGTGGCCAACTACAGTAGGATTTTATTGGTGTTGTGTGCTAACTAGTATGGTTTCATAATTTTATTAGATTGGGAGCAAAAAAAAAAAAAGAGCCGAGTCCAATCCCTACTGCGGAACATTTAGTCGTGCTTTGAGAAGAGTTGAAAGAAAAAAGTTGAAATTTTAAAAAAAAAAAATGATGATCTCGCAATATGCGGACAAGGGGAGTCGAACCCCGACAACCCTCACCATCTTCAGACTGTTGTATGAAATGAAGGAGTGCACCGTGCACCACATCCGCTTCCTACCCTCTGTTACTGGGTGCTCAAGCTGCTGACTACTTAGTATGGTTTTTTATTTTATTTTATTGCAGTAGAGTAAGCAACAACAAAAAAAAGCCAAGTCCAACTCCCACTGGAGGGAACTGAGTTGTGCTTTGAAAAGAGTTGAAAAAAAAAAAAACACTGCCATGAGCATGCGAACACAGGGAGTCGAACCCCGACAGCCTTCAACTCTTGTGTGTCGCTTCATGAAAGAAAGCAGTGCACCGTGCACCACGTCCGCTGTGAGGCTGGTGCTTGTGCTACGCCCTGCACACCGCCTCACGGCCCCTTCAACCGAGCCCTGGACGAGAACGTACGAGGCGCCCATTCATCCAAATCGGGAATCAAAGTTACCAAATCCGGATTCTCATCAAACGCACGCAGCCTATGGTCCCCATCCAACCTTCCACATCGCTCGTACCACCCGCCCGACTAGTCACGACCCTCGATGGACGCCCCCATCATCCGAACTCCGCCCTTGCACCACTCGCACCTCACTTACGAGCACGGCACCATGCGCTACGGCCCACGAGAGTGGTACGAACCAGCCAATAGCAGGCATCCTGGGCTTGGTATCCTCTTCCCACACCCTAGAAGTCACCAACACTCGAACGCAAACCTCGTCCGATCCAGTTCCCATCCTTCCAAACCACTCCAAACCTACTTAGATGCGTCCGGACGCGTCCCCCGACCAATAACTGACCTTTTATGGCCCAAGAATCCGCTCTGCTATGGAACGGGTCCTGTGCCCGTACCAATTTGCATCGTACACTCCGTCCGTTCGTGGAAACGAGCCCCAAAATACGAACGTAAGCCTCACCCGTGGCCCCAAATATTGAACGCACCCTACGTACGTTCCTGCGCGAGCACCCTCAAACTGGAACCAAATGAGTGGGCATCAAGGGGACGGTCGAGAGGCGAAAAGGTATAAAAGGATAGCAGAAAAGGGTGTTGTAGTCAGTCAATTTTCGGAGCTTAGTTCTCCCCCACCACCTGTACCCCCACCTGTGCAACTAAGTCTCGCTCACACCGAGTTGACCACACCCTCACTTGCCTCTAGCAGGGCATTTCACTCTCACACCTCCTTTCGCAAGGTCCCAACTCATCGGACCCCAAGTCATATCATCGGGCTTCCCCGTAATAGGATCACCAACTTCGCGAGCTTCACGCTTTGTAGAAGTCGGCCTGAACGAAGCCATATTGGTTTAAATCGTCGTCTGCCACCCAGCGTCACAACCGGATGTCCCATATGTTCGACTGACCAGCACCAGCCGGCGTCGCTGTCACTTGCTTTATAACCATAAAACATTGTATTAAGCCTCCACCTTCGTTGGGAACATCGGGGAAACACGAGGGAAGGATTGCAGCATAGGCATCGGATTTTACAGGAAACAACATGTCGTTCGCTCAAGCTTGTGACCTAGGACAGGTAACTATTACCCCCACACCCGTTTACAGCTAACAGCAGGTACCCCCAACACGAAACCACGGAACGGACGCCTCGTGCGATCCCATGCAACACCCTCATTCGGACAACGCACACGTCCCAATCCTACATCCCCACTATCCTCCAACGTTAATTAACCCCTAGAGGCCGAACGGGCTGTCTATTTGATAAAACATATTCTCATAGCGGCACCGCGGTCCTTATCACACCGCTTCCTACCCTCTGTTACTTGGGCTCCTAAGTACATTTTATTTTATTAGGTTTTGAGCAGAAAAAAGAGCTGACAATTCCTACGGGGGATAATTAAGTCGGGCTTCGAAAGTGTTGAAAGAAATATGAAAAAAAAATGATAATATATCGGCAAAATGCGGACGTGGGGAGTCGAACCCCGACAATCTTCAACATTTGTTCTAAACAGAAACATGAGATAAAGCAGTGCACCATGCACCATGTCCGCTTCCTTCCTCTGTTACTGAAGGGGCTAAGTACAGTAGTATGATTTTATTGGATCAGATTGGGGGCAAAAGAAGAGCTGAGTCCAATTCCTACTGGATGTAATAGGGTCGTGCTTTGAAAAAAGCTGAAAGAAAAAAGAAAAAACACTAGTAACATCGATCAACATGCAGACGTGGGGAGTCGAACCCCAACAGCTTTCGACATTTCTTTGGCATAGCTTCTTGTTACATGAAATAAAGGAGTGCACCGTGCACCACATCCGCTTCCTATCCTCTGTTACTTGAGCTGCTAACTACAGTAGGATTTTATCGGTGCTGTGTGCTAACTAGTATGGTTTTATTTTATTAGATCAGATTGTGAGCAAAAAAAAAGAGTTGAGTCCAATTCCAATGGATGTAATTGAGTCGTCCTTTGACTCAAAAATAGAAATACAACTTTTGTATGCAGACACGGGGAGTCGAACCCCGACAGCCTTCAACATTGTGTTGTGATTAGAACGTGAAATAAAGCCGTGCACCGTGCACCACGTCTGCTTCCTGCCCTCTGTTACTTGGGCTCCTAAGTACAGTAGTATGGTTTTATAATTTTATTAGACTGTGAGCAAAAAACAAATAGCCCACGGCGGAGTCCAATGGGGTAATTGAGTCGTGCTTGGAAGAAAAATGGAAACAGCACTTTCGTATGCGGACACGGGGAGTCGAACCCCAATAGCCTTCAACACTTTACTGGGAGCGGAACATGAGCATGAGATGAAGGAGTGCACCGTGCACCACATCTGCTTCCTACCTTCTGTTACTCACTTGAGTAACTACAGTAGTATTATTTTATTGCAGTAGAGTGCCCACAATTCCTACGGGGATAATGGAGTTGTGCTTTAAAACTTATGAAGGAAGATGAAAAATGAAAAATGATAACATATCTCCATCACGCGGACGAGGGGAGTCGAACCCCAACAGCCTTAACATTTTCCAAATTTGGATCGTCCCATGGAATAAAGCAGTGCACCATGCACCACGTCCGCTTCCTATCCTCTGTAACTGAAGCTGCTAACTACAGTAGGATTTTATTGGTGTTGTGAGCTAACTAGTATGGTTTTATAATTTTATTGCAGTAGATTGTGAGCAAAAAAAAAAGAGCCCGTGTCTCGCATCGGAGTCCAACTTCGACCGACTGGATATAATCGGGGGATAATTGATAAATGAGAGAAAAAACCAAAAAGAATATCGAAAATCATACGCATGCGGACGCGGGGAGTCGAACCCCAACAGCCTTCAACACCTTCAGGATCATTACACGAAATAGGGCTGTGCACCACGTCCGCTTCCTAGCCTCTGTTACTGAGGTGGCTAACTAGTGGTATGGTTTTATAATTTTACTAGATTAGATTGGGAGCTGCTAACTACTGTGGTATGGTTTTGGGATTTTGTTAGATCGGATCCGGATTGTGAACAAACAAACAAACAAACAAACAAAAGAGCCCACAGTGGAGTCCAATGGGGTTGAGTCATGTTTTGAAAAGAGTTGAAAGAAATATGAAATAAAAAAACGCTCGCACTTTCATCGATATGCAGACGCAGGGAGTCGAACCCCGACAGCCTCTTCAAATTTTGGGACAGTAACACGAAATGAAGCAGTGCACCGTGCACCAGGTCCGCTTTCTATCCTTGGTTACTGAAGTGGCTAACTAGTATGGTTATAATTATGATTTTATTGCATTGCAAACAAAAACAGAGCCCACAGCCAGGATCAGAGTTCAATTCCTACTCGAGATAATGGAGGCGTGCTTTGAAAAGAGTTGAAATGAAAATAAAAAAAGTAATGCATCTCTCAAGAAATATGCGGACGTGCGGAGTCGAACCCCGACAGCCTCTTCAAATTCTGGGACAGTAACATGAAATGAAGGAGTGCACCATGCACCACGTCCGCTTCCTACCCTCTGTTACTGAGCTGCTAAGTAAGTAGTATGGTTTTATAATTTTACTAGATTGTGAGCAAAAAAAAAGAGTTTCCTACCGGCATAAACGAGGTGTGCTTTGAAAGTGTTGAAAGAAAATGAAAAATAAAAAATGAACATGTCTGCAACATACGGACACGGGGAGTCGAACCCCGATAGCCTCCAACATTTCTTGGGGATAGCCTTATGCATTGAAGGAGTGCACCGTGCACCACATCCACTTCCTACCCTCTGTTACTGAAGTGGCTAAGGACAGTAGTATGGTTTTATACTTTATTTTATTGCAGTAGAGTAAGCAACAAAAAAAAAAGCCAAGTCCAATTCCTACGGGGGATAATTGAGTCGTGCTTCGAAAACAGTTGAAAGAAAAATGCAAAATGAAAAAAAAAACACAACTTCTGTATGCAGACGAGGGGAGTCGAACCCCAACAGCCTCTTGAAATTTAAGATAGTGATATGAAATAAAGGAGTGCACCGTGCACCACATCCACTTCCCACCTTCTGCCACTCACTTGAGTAACTACAGTAGTATGGTTTTATAATTTTATTAGATTGTGAGCAAAAAAAAAAGAGCGGAGTCCAATTCCTACCGGCATAATCGAGGTGTGCTTTGAAAAGAGTTGAAATGAAAATAAAAAAGTAATGCATCTCTCAAGAAATATGCGGACACGGGGAGTCGAACCCCAACAGCCTTAACATTTTCAAAATTTGCATGACGCCACAAAATAAAGCAGTGCACCATGCACCACATCTGCTTCCTCCCTCTGTTACTTGTGCTCCTAAGTACAGTAGGATTTTATTACGATAGGTTGTGAGCAAAAAAAAAAAAAAAACAGAATGGAGTGCTTAAAGAGTTGTAATCAAAAAATAAAAAAATAAAAAAATAAAAATGCACATAGTCAACAAACGCATGCGGACACGGGGAGTCGAACCCCGACAGCTGCTTCAACATTTTCCCAAATTTGGATCGTCACATGAAATGAAGGAGTGCACCGTGCACCACATCCACTTCCTATCCTCTGTTACTGAGCTGCTAACTAGTATGTATGGTTTCATAATTTTATTAGATTGGATTGTGAGCAAAAAAAAAAAGGGGTCCAATTCCTACTGGATTTAATTGGGGAATAGTCGTGCTTTGAAAGAAAAATAAAAATGAACTTCTCGCCATATGCGGACGCGGGGAGTCGAACCCCGCAGCCTCCAACATTTCTTCGGGATAGCCTTATGCATTGAAGGAGTGCATCGTGCACCACATCCGCTACCTCCCTCTGTTACTTGGGCTCCTAAGTACAGTAGGATTTTATTATGATAGGTTGTGAGCAAAAAAAAAAAAAAAAACAGAACGGAGTGCTTAAAGAGTTGTAATCAAAATCAAAAAAGAAAA